ATATGCTGTAATGTAATATTAACTAATGTAATGTTTTTCAATATTGTTTCAATATTTTTATTAATAAGGGTTTAATCAATAAAATTAATTAATGCATTCGTACATTTTCAGAAAATTGCAAACAATTTCATACGAAGTTTAAAATTACTGTTTTTAAAAAAAAAATGCTAGTTTTTAATATGATATAAGAGAGCGCAAATAAATGATTTCAACTTACACCACTACAGCCCTCAATTGAGTTTATTTATCTCCTGTTGGATCCATACGATTCCTACTTCACAATGCTTCTGGATAATTATTATAAATGCTACTGCTTACTACGAGATAGGAAATTTCTAAAGATTCATGGAAATCGAGCTATTTAAAAATTTATAGTAATATCCTCGTTCCCATAATTTATTTGAAGACTACCATTTTTTCTTACATATATATGTTTATATAAGAAAATCAGAATGTTTTTGTTAAACACAGCGTGCGTTAATAAATCTCCCCTCTTTTACGGTTAAGATTACATACTCTCGATACCTCCAAGTTGAAGGTACGATAAAAAAAAATAATAATAATAAAAGTATTGAGATAACGAGTTTTCGAACTAACAAGTTCAAAACTAAATATTTTCTAAAAAGTAGAGAAATATATTCTATAAAATATTACTCTAATAAGCAGAGACATGAAATATAAGAATAACTACTAATAAATGCGCGTGTAATGATAGTTGACTACATAAATCCTAATACAACAATAATAATTTTATTTTTAAAAGTAAGACAAAAATAGTTTTGCATTAAATAGAAAGGAATTGGTTTACAATATTCGTACATTGGTACTTTTCCGAAAAAATTCAATTTCTTTTTCCGAAAGAAATTCGACTTAACAACAAGATTTTGAGAAGAAACTCTTCAACATAGGAATTCAAATTAATGTTAGGTGGATATATAATGCCAAGAGGATATATATATATATATATATTTCCAGATTTTCATTTTTTTATGCTTTTTTCCGGATATTTTCTTCCGGATATTTATTATTTTTTTCATTATAATTTTTCTTTTTCCCTTTTTTCAGTGTTTTGTATTGAATTACAGAACACTGAAAAAAGGGAAAAAGAAAAATTATAATGACAAAAATAATAAATTTCCCAAAAAAAAGGAAAGAAAAGAAAAAAAAATCCTGAAATTTCTCCTTTTCCCTTTTTTCATTGTTCTGTAAGTTTTTCCATGTTTTCTCTACTTTTGAACTTATTGTATCAGTTCTATTTACTTGCAGCTTATTCGCAGTAAATAAAACTTATTGTTTTTCTAAATCTTCTTCGTTTTTTTGTTGTTGTCCTTTTAGTGTATATATATATATGCTGTTTTCGTGTAATCTAAAGTTGGAAGTTCTTCAACTAAAATCATCAGTTACCATTTCCAATCATAATATTTATTTCCGCAAGTCGCATTTCCCAGATTTTTTTTTTTTTTTCTATTAACCTTTTACGTCTTTCTAATACTCACAACAGAAAAAAAATTGCTTTTTCATCTAATTAAAATACCATCTGTTTTTCCTTTCAGAAAAAAAGCCAAAGGTCTTCGCAATTTCTTCTTTCAATAAAAAGAATCAAAAACCCGAGATGGATTGCGTTGGTGGATCGAAGCGTACTTTTTGCTCGCGAAAAATTAACACATGGAGACATTTCCTTAAATTTTATTCAATATTATTCAAAATGGAGGCCGATTATATCGACTTTCGAAAGTTTTCCTTTATGGTCCAAAAAGTTCTTCTTTTTAAGAATTCAAAAGATGACATCAATAGTTCCAAGAAGGCATAGACACCCTCAACTTTCTTTCAGCTTGTCACGAAAACAAGAGAAAGGTGTCTTTTAAGAATGTTTGCTGCCCGAATGTAATTGAAAAATCAAGCAATTAAATCTTTTTAAATTAAACTTAATTTGTAATTGGGTTGACTTGTATACTGCGCAGTTGTCCTCTTTACATTTGAAAAATCCATGTTTAAAAATGAAATTATTCATAAAAACACGTATAAGGAATATTTTGAAATTATCAGATTGAATAAGTAGTTGTATATTGGATTAAAAATTAAATAGTTTATAAAGATTTGACCGGGAATTGCCAGATTGTTGAAATGATTTAAGTAATAGCTTTATAGTTTCAAATAATTGCTTAATGATTTAAAATTATGGTTAAATAGTTTCAAATCAAATTGTTATAACTATCACCAATTTCTCTTAAACTGATTTCAGTATTTTCTTCTAAAAAAAGCGATACTTTTGATAAAATTTCAATAATTTTGAATACAGTTTATAAAAAATATAAAAATAGACATAAAACATCAATCCACTTAGGGAACTTAGATTATTGGGTAAAATGTGCAGATATTAAAAAGAAAAAAAAATCATTCCATTAATTTTTGAAATTTTTTTTACATTACCCACTAAAGTGGATAGTGAAATATTCATTATTCACTATGGAAAGACCTAATCCAGGTACATAAGCGTCGATGGAGCAAATTTATTTCCATTTCTAAAAAATTTGAGCAGATCATCTGAGGAAAATATTTTCAAACATATACCGTAATAAGGTGCTTATAGACTGCAGCCTTAATAAGGTGTTTAACTGAACCAATATGGTTTAACGGAGCACTACACTGGAATTTCAGCAAATTTGTTCGATATCAATGAACTGTCAATATATGAAAACGAAAAACGATTTATTTGAACACAGTATTTGTTCTTCCATTAAGAATATCGAATTTTCGAAATATAATCGAATTTTCGAGTTTGTTTTTCCTTAAAGAATGTCGATTTTTTGGAAAAACACTATTTGTTCTTTTTTAAAGAATTATGAATTTTTGAAGCTTAATATTTGCTCTTCTTTAAAAGAAATTTTTGAAACACAATATTCGTTCTCATTAAAAGTACCGATTTTTTGAAATATAGCATTTATTTTCATTTTTATAAAGAATACCAGTTTTTGATGCACAGTATTTGTTCTTCCATATTGATTTTGAATAATAATAATAGTGATTTTTTAATAACAATATTGATTTTTTGAAACACAGTATTTGTTCTTCTATAAAGAATATTGCTTTTTCGAAACACAGCATTTGTTCTTCCATAAAGAATATTGATTTTTTTAAACACAGTATTTGTTCTTCTATAAAGAATATTGATTTTTTTGAATCACAGTATTTGTTCTTCCATAAAGAATACTGATTTTTTTATTTGTTCTTCTATAAAGAATATTGATTCTTTTGAATCACAGTATTTGTTCTTCTATAAAGAATATTGATTTTTTGAAACAGCATTTTTTCCACCTTAAAGAATTACTATTTTTCAAACTGTTCTTTTTTAAAAAAATAAAGATCTTTTCAAAAGCTCTCTACAGCTGTATTTGAAAAAAAAACTACAGCCCTTTTTTGGAGGCAAGTTATCGGTTGAGTATTTTAATGAAAGGGAAAAACACTTACGCCCGCTGTGTTTGATAGTGTTATTTGCATAATGAATCGGGGAGGACAACCAAAGGATGTGAAAAAATAGGGGCTCTGAGTGGGCGGTTTAAGAGACCGAATCTCGGTTATCTGCCTTGTCTTCCAAGAAATGGGACAAAGGAATTAAAATTAAAGTGTCACTGTTGCTTAAATTCAAATTTCAAAGATATTTCATTCCTGCTGTGTTAGAAAAGTTGCAACGCCCAGTACCCAGTTCGTTCAATCCGACGAAGGATTGAATCTGTTTTTTTTTGTATGGTTTCAGTTTAGTTTTTTCAGTTTACATTTTTACGAGTAGCAAATCATAAAAATTGTAGTTCGGAAGAGCAAAAGCAATGTATAATCCAGTTTAATGGACGTTAAAAAAAACATTACTAAGTGTTAAAAGCACATTTCAAGTGTTGTTTTGAAGTGGGAAGAATCTGTCATAAAATAAAGTTTCCAATTTTATGATGTCATTATGTATATTTTATAACCATTTTATGATATTGGTAAATGCATTTTTAATAAATAATTTCTGCAAATGTAATTTTTAAGGTGATATTAAATATTAAAGTAGTTTTTGTTTTATACTTGGTCAATAACATGCATTTAAAAAAAAATATTAATGTTTGTCCTTCTTAATAATATCGAGTATTCATATTCATTCAGTGTTTGTTTGATACTTGGTTAATAAAATGCATTTTTTCAAAATTATTAACATTTGTTCTTCTTAATAATATCGACTATTTATATTTCTGCAGTTTTTGTTTGATACTTTGTTAATAAAATGCTTTTTTTCTTCTTCAAAATCATTAATATTTGTTTTTTTGCATTATAGAGAAGGTACATCGAATATTTATAGAAATATACTAATATTATACATCTTATGGTTCATGTCAAGTGCTATAATGTTTCTTTTTTTTTTATTTTTTACCTCATTTATCTCTTGTTATGGTAGACCTGGGGGTTCAAGGTTCGATAGCTGTCAAGGGTTAATTGTCATTTTTTTTAATATTTATTTTATTTTATATTATCTTTTCAAATATCTTTTTCAATATTTTAACGTGAATAAAGTGTTCTATATATAAAAGTAACTATTTTTCTTTGGGAAAGAGCGAATAATAGCTAAAAAACGGATAAATTTCTCCGGCTTCATAGCTACGCATACAACTCACCCCGCAACTCCCTTTAATATTAACTTATAATTTTCAAACTCGGCCAGAAATTGGAATTTAATATATTAAACAATTGTATGTTTTTGAGTTAGATATAGTTTCTAACACAGTTCAATCTTATGACCGCATCATTATTGACACAATATCGTTTATAGTTATGGATAGCCGCATTCTAGCTATGTGCTACGTAAAAATCCAAGTCATATCGTATATAGATAAAATATGGGCTATCATTGCTATATTTTTGAATTTGACATTAAATATATATAAGGGATTAAAAACAAACATTGCTTTGGAATATGTTGCTCGTAGATCTTCGCAATATTTTAAGAATTTTTTAAATTTTATTTTTAGGTTGTTGATGAGCAAGGTACAGTGAAGGCATGGGTCGATACTTTGGTCGTGAGAGGTGGACAGTGGACGACATTTTTGCGAAAATCAGAGAATGTGCAAAAGAGGAATGTTAGTCCACTCTTCTATGGTGGTCAAGTAAGTTTATACTTTTCTTAATTTTTAAATTCGATTCAAAATCTAGAATCTTTTGTTTTACTACGCACTGATTTTAATGTATGTGTTACTGTGATGGACCGATATTGGCGGTTGTTAAATTCCACCGGTGAATGTTGACAATCACATAGTCGCTATGGTAAATGCCCGAAATGTATACTTGGTCTAGTTAAGTGCCACTGCCCGGTATTCCCTACATCATTGTTTTTTTAATTTTTTTATTGTCAAGTGCCACTGCCCAGTATGCATTTAACCAGTACTCCGAACACTGATGTTTCTTCTTATCTATCCTCAGCAGATATTAAAATGTCGAATAAATATAATCATATCAACGAATAAATTAATATTAAATCCGATGTAACAAATATTCCGAACATTCAACAAAGCGACACTGTAATTGTTGACATTCACTGGTAAAAGTCGACATTCTTTTGATGTCGGTCATTCACGGTAACATATATATACGAAGTATATACATATGCAATGAAGTATATACATATTCACGAAGTATATACATATTCACCGCAACATATGCATGGATTGCTCTTAATGATTAAAAATAATTTCATTAAAAGCTGTATGTAAAATCGTAATGCAGATGCCATTTGCCTTGAGGGTGCTAAAATCTCCCTTCACTAGCATTTTTTTTTCTGCGAGGAATGATAATCTTTGATTTTTTAATCTACATATATCGATTGTACTTGACTGTTATCGATTGTATTTACATTGTACTTGCAGATGTGAATTTCGTTTCATTCGGACAACTTTTTGAGGAGCGCTAATGTTTTTGGCAATGAGTGTAATAAGAAAAACTTTTCTATATGAAATTTCATGTTGGAAAATATGCGTTTCTTTGCGTTCCCCCCTTTCGTTAGTAGATACTTTTGCGCTACGCTGTTAGAATGTTCATTCTAAAATCATTGCAAAATAACCAGCAGCAGTCTGTTCATTCGAATAACCGTAAAATTTATGGTAAAGAATATTTTTTTTACGGTTTTTTATGGTTATTTGACTGTTTTGTTTTAATATGGTAAAATAACAATTTAATAAATTGTTATTTAACCATTTTTTAACCGAGAAATTTCTAACAGTATAAACAATGAAAGTGAATATTTGATTTTTAAAAAAAAGGAAACTAAATGTGAAAATAATTTAGCAAATTAAAATAAGTGGTTTATTCACGTGACAAAAATATGTCACATCAAAAATATTTTTGTAACGTTACAAAACGTCACACCCAAATATTTCATTTTCCCATGGGATCCGAACAAACATTATTTAGATTTTAATTCCTAATCCGGAGTGAAAAAAAAAATTAATTTTTTTTCAATTCTTTAAAAGAACAAGAGAAATTAAATTCTGACAAATCGAAAAAAGGTTACACCCTTCTTTATAACGATTTTGCATAACGTCGTCTTCTCTTAACCATATTCAATCTTTTATTTTTCTTCAACAGAGATCAACACCGGGCAAGCGATTTCGTTACGAAACAATAGCGCTGAATAATGAATTCTTCAAAACCGTTGCGTCACATCGCAATGACGGTGCTGGCCTTAATCGTTGTCCCTCGTCCAGCGCAAAAATTTTACAAACAAATAAGCAAATGTGTTTTTATCTTGAGTTGTGTTGTTATTTATGATTTGGTTGTAACGCTCTCACCCCCACTTGCGGAAGTGATGAAACTGAAGCTAACACATACACACACCTGTTAGAATGTTTCGAAGGGAGTTAACGCGCATATGAATTTGCTTATTTTTGGTGATTAACGGGTACTTTGTAAACAAGGATTTTCTCGGATATTCTATTCTAGAATAGTGTTTCGGCGATGGAATAAAGAGTGCATTGCGAAAAAGGAAAGGATATTTTTTTGTGACTCTTTATTAATTTTGTTAGTTGTTTAAGCGGATTAAATATACATACTCATACAATATGCACTTCCATGGCTACTAAAACTTTAAAGCTACAACCTGTGATTTAGCGCTAACTAACTGTGCTATATTTATGATGGGAATGGAATTTCGAACCATACTAGGCAGAAATTCTATGCCCATAAAGATTACACATTAAATATAGTGAGATAACAATGTGTTTGATAAACCACTATGTTTCAGGGTAATATAGGTCGTAATGTTAATTGTGCTGTAGATATAAAAATACAAAGTCAATAGAAATAAAATTAAATAAAACTATATGCACAGTTAAAAAGATGATGATGAAAACATGAAGCAATTGTCATTAGACGTGGGGGCTAAGGGAATAGGGCGTTTGTCTTTCAATGAAGTGACCCGGGTTCGAATCCTAACGATGCCTGGTCGATACGACTTCCGCACCCGGCATGCACCTATCACACTGATGACGTAGAATATCGTCAGTTATAGACGGATGATGTGTTCAAGTCCCCTTACCATCACTGATCGGTGAAGTTTTTCTTGGTTTTCCTTTTCATGTGACGCAAATGCGTGTTAGTTCCATCAAAAAGTCCTCCACGGAAGAAAATTTCTCCCAATACTTAATCCAGGAGTTACCTTGTCTTCTGAATTAGGTTAAATATTACAAGGCTACGGCGTTGATCATTAGCAGTCATAAACTTAAAACCGAGTTGGCCATTCAAGGACGTTTATAAAAAAAATTGCTATTTGTGTACATGCAAAATTTACATCACTTTTGACGTATTAGTGATCATCAATGAGCTTTTCTATATCTTTTTGGGTATCTAAAAAACATAATATCTGTCGGTATTCATCTTAAATTTGTATCAAAGATGAAAGTAATGTTAAGTTTTGTAGCTGAGCATTATGCGAACTTAATAACTTTTTTATCATTGAACATTTTAAAACTAAGCTTTATATCATTATCCAAAGCATGAGAGCTATTTTTATATACTCATAATTTCTTCTAAAAATAATTGTAGGAGTAAACTTTACATCTTATTTATATCAACGATTTATATTATTCCAAACATTTACAGTTATTTATTATTTTTATCGACTCTGAAGTTAAAAAAAAAAAATCTTTTAATGAGTAAACAAAAATTTATCTCACTCTTTAAAAGAAAGGTATTCTTAATTGTTTTACTGGGAATAAAGTTCTTCTTACCAACCTCTTTACTTCTAAGACAATGGAGAGAAAAAAAAACTCTTCACTTGATAATTAGTATAGAACAATTAGCGAAAGATGGAATGGCCCCAGAAACACACTATATTTCATGTTCTGACTCGTCGTCCTAAATGTGTCTCTCGGAGTGCTTTGTAAATATATGGTTTCCCACGGTAAATCGATGGCACCTTCCATATCGAAACTGGATTCTCTCCCATCACGATTGTTTACTTTTAACGAAATACATATTTCGTTCGTTAAGTAAGTCATCACGATTTTATATTTAGAGCTGCCACCAGCTGAAATAACTGTGAATAATTTACTCGACAATGTATCTGTTATAAATGATCTTATGTGGTAGCATCAGTAGGAAAAAAACGGCGATTTTTGGTTCAATAAAGAGCTGTGTGATTATAGAAGAGTTTAATTTTAAATTTGGGAGAAAAAGTATGAGATACTAAAATACACTTTCTAAAGGAAATCGGGTCGTAGTAAAATTAAAAGCTAAGTGTAAATGGAAAAGTTTAGTTTTCGATTAGACAAGAAAAGTTTTGAGATATTGAAATACATTTTACTTAATAAGAGTGATTATTCAAAGGAAATAGTGATTTTGGTCTGTGAAGTTTAATTAATAGCTATGTTTAAAATGAAAAAAAAAATGGCTTACCATTTATCATTCAGAAGGAACAGTTTAAGATATTCAGGGCAGCGCAAACCCTTCTCCACCTCGCCAAATGCAATAAAATCGTAAATTTGGCGAATAACATTGTGTTTGGCAGAAAGTATTGGCGAATGATTTTTTTCCCATTGGACCTAAACGCGCTTTGAAGCAAGATGATATGTCCGTTATCAAGAATTCAAAAAATCATGAATTGCTGCACATTGTTGTAATCTTAAGCATAAATTCAATTTAGACAGAAACCAAAATTATTTTTACCCCAGTCACATCAGCTCATCTTGATGCCCTGGAATCTTGTTAATTTCATATGACTGCTGATTCCTTCGTTAACGACATTAGTTACTCATCACTTCGCCATAGCACGTGAAAATGCATTTTACCCTGACTTGCACAACTCGGTCATTGTGATTTTCTTGCTCTGCTTTTCATCGTTTTTCTCTCTCAGCTACTGCGGTTTTTTATGCTTTGTTTCTCACCTTTCTTCTCGTTGACAACTTTATGTTTTATATTTCAAGTTACTTTTTGTTTTTTCTTATTGACATCTGACAAATCTTGAAAATGGATGCATGTCTTTGAGCGCTTGAAACACGCCGAATGTTAATTCCAATCTGTATATTTTTGAAGCAAATGAAGTTTTGAATCAAGTACTAATCATTATCTATTTATTGTTTCAATTTAAAAAAAAAAAACAGTTTGTGTCATTTATTTGTTAAGGACCAATATGAAGTGACGTGCAACGATGACTAAAAAAAATAAACTAATGTAAAAAAATCGAAAAGAGGGAACAACATTTCGTGAATACAAGTTTACTCCTGTTTCTCAGGGATCGCTGCTGTTGGGGCAGAACTAATAATTGTTCCTGGCGTGAATACACTTTCCTTTAACAGGGGACCGTTTTTTATTCTAAAAGAATAGGGGTATGGAAATAAATAAGTTTGAATACGATGATTTTTCGGAGGGTAATTGATTAGCACGGCAATTTTATAAATCACTTAATCTATAATTATAGGCTTTTATAATACAATTCTATGTGTTTTTTAAAACAGACTAGTTTCACGTTGACTTGTTCTGATTTAATATAATTTTGAAGCAAACACAAAAGACGAGATGACATCGTGCCAAAACTTTGGGGTTCTATATTTCTTGGGGATCTTTTGAAATGTGACAATAGAAGACATCGAAAGCAAAACAGTAAAAGTTTGTGATT